CTACGCAATCCTATTCTGCCTCGTCGAACTGCCGGCTGCACTAACCGTACACAAGCACGAAGACGACACCGGCCTTAACGGCGACGGACAGGCAGCATTCGCGCAACTATAGGCCAACTACAATCGAGCGACAGATGAAGTGATCAGGGCTAAACTGGACGACCTGGAAAGGACGGTCATGGAGCCAGGAGAGAACCTGGACTATTTTTTCAACAACAAAGACCGCCTCCGCTCTCAACTAGAGAATATGGGGGAAACCATCTCCGATCGCCGCTTCAAGGACATCTGGGTGCAAGGTTTCTCCGAGGACAAAAAGGATATCAAGATGATGGTTTTCCGCGACCCACCATTCGACGTACAACAGATGCAAGCTACCATGCGCAACATCTTCCCTGACGAGCAAATGCGCCAGGGAACCAAGGGCCAAATCGCTGGCCGCGGATTCGCCATGGCTACCAAGACATCTGGCTCCATCTGCTTCGAGTGCAACGAACCGGGACATGTCAGGAGGAACTGTCCCAATCGCCAGCGGGAGGGCCATAGGGCAAAGAAGACGAAGCCTGCGGGAGCAACCAAGTGGTGCTCCGTCCATAACACCACTACACACTCCGACGAAGAGTGTTCCAGCCAAGGAGCAAAGCGACCAGAACGCACGGGCAAGGCTTTCTCCGCATGCACACACTGCATGCACTGCTCAACCCAGTCAGGAGATACACACGCCAAGCCTGCCACAACGGAAACTCCCAAAGAAACAGAGAAGACCGAGAAGCCAGAGATCGACTTCTCTTACGACGACGACGCATTCAAGGGGTGGATTCATGTACCATGCTACATGCAGTNGAGCAACCAAATGGTGCTCCGTCCATAACACCACTACACACTCCGACGAAAAGTGTTACAGCTAAGGAGCCAGCACGCACGGGCAAGGCCTTCTCCGCATGCACACACTGCATGCACTGCTCAACCCAGTCAGGAGACACACACGCCAAGCCTACCACAACGGAAACTCCCAAAGAAACAGAGAAGACCGAGAAGGCAGAGATCGACTTCTCTTACGACGAAGATGCATTCAAGGGTGGATTCATGTACCATGCTACATGCAGCAAGGGAAGCGGACGCACTTTCACGACAACTGCAACTGGGACTTCCGCGCTGGTGGATTCTGGAGCTTCTGAAACCATGTTCGACGACCGCCTCATCCCGAATGGACGTCTCGAAGAAGAACGCCCGACGCCCAAGATCATCGACGTTGCAGGAGAAAGCCAACTACGAGGCACTACCACTGGGATCCTACACTGCACCATCAAAGACGACAAAGAACAGCAACTACCCGTCAAGCTACAAGGTCTCATCGTGCCAGGACTAGGCCGGAACATCTTCGCACCAACGGCCCTTCTCAAGAAGGGCCTCCGATGTGTCCTGGAAGACAAGACCCCACACCTCACCATCGGCGGAGAAGTCGTCGTTCCTCTGAAACAAGAGACTCAAGACCAAGGCATGTGCACCCTCGCCATCACATTCAAGGGCGATCCAGCGTCCAAGCAAGACACGCCCGAACAACCAAGAACCAGGGCGCAAGCCGAAGTTCGGAAAACCAGAAGCGGTACAGATCGATCACACTCCGCACGCGACATGCTCAGTGGCGATGAGCGTGAGCGCCGACCTCTGGCACCGGCGCCTCGGCCACATCAATCCAAGTGCTATGGAATTTTGCGGCGCAACCCCGCTACAGGTGTGAAATATGACGGACCGGTATCCCCGTGCGACAACTGCCACATCACGAAGCACAAGAAGCCTCCCGTCCCGAAGAAGACCAGCCGTGTCCTGACCAAACCAGGCCAACTCGTCCAGTTCGACAACATGGGACCAATCGACCCGCCTGCGAAGTACAACGGACGCACCTACTCCTATGTCGCCAAAGCGACCGACGTCTTCACCAGAATGCGGGAAGTGTACCTACTGCGCGACAGGACCGAAACCACGCAAGCTCTGCACGCCTACAATATGCAAGTAGCATCTGAAGGCTACCGCATTGAGATTCTACGCTGTGACAAAGGGGGAGAGAACACTGGGGAAGAAATGCGCAACTACTGTAGGGAGTCTGCGATCAAGCTGGAATTCGCCGCGACCAACACGCCCCAAGAAATCGGAGTGTCAGAAAGGGATGGCCAGACACTTGCGGCTGTGACTCGAGCTCTACTGCGCGATGGAGACTTCCCAAAACACATGTGGGGGGAGCTCATGATGACTGCAGCATACCTGACCAACAGGACCCCACACGCGGCGCTAGGGGGAGCCACGCCGTATTCCAAGATGTACAACACAACCCCGGACCTTTCTCGACTTCGTGCCATCGGCGCCCGCGCGTTCGTTCATCACGAGCGATACAAGAAGAAGCTAGACGACCGGGCCTTTGAAGGCAAGCTCTGCGGTTACGGACCTGACAGCAAGACGTACCGGATCTACGTGGAGGGCAAAGACAAGGTCTACGAGAGCCGGAACGTGACTTTCATCGAGACTCCACCCAACACCATCCCCCCTCACCGGTGGGACGACCGTCTCGGATATGAACAGGACGTGATGAACTTCACGTCATTGCTCGGACGCCGTACCTCTACGGGCGACGAAGACAACAAAGTGGACTACGGAACACAATCAGAGCTCCTGCTGCACGAGATGCGCAACATGCAGCAAGACAACATCAACCGAGCAGAACTTCGCCAAAACAACGCGGGCACGGATTCCGACGACTACTTTGCTGTTGGGAGAGATTACAGCAATAACAACTCGCGGACTACGACACCACCAGGACATCGCAAGGACCCTACGCGAGAAATATCGTAAAGCGATACGGAATGGAACAGGCAAACCCGGTCAGCACCCACGGGTATGGAGCAGAACTATCAACCGAGCAGCCACACGACCAACTACTCNACCCGTAAGCCCGACCTCTAGCGACAATGCTAGAACGTTCCTACTGGACAAGTGTCCAACGTACCACATACCAACGTACCGACTTACACCTACGGTCCGTTGTACGATCCTTACGTGTGTACAATCTACCGAACTACCACAAAGAGTATTCGCAGAACACTCGGCATGACAACCTACGATCGACAGTTCTGCAATTAAAAATATCCAATCAGATGTTCTACCGCAGCTCAGGCGATACATAAGGCCGCTACCACGAACACTAAGATCTGTCTTAAGCAGTGCACCAACTGACACGGGCATGCGCAAACCCAGCACAGGTCCACATGGCTGCGGCCAGGCACCTACTACGGTACCTACGCGGACCGCCGGACCTGCCGATCGTGTACAAAAAGGGGCAGTTCAGGCTCTCGTGCTTCACTGACTCTTCATTAGGTCGTATTTTTTGATATGGATTGGGAATTGAGGGATCGCAAAAATTGGCAGCGAAGTGAAGCTTTTCTTTTTCTTTTTGGAACATCGGCTACTACTTGCCTAATCGAGGGGTCGTGTCGAGGAAAACTGTTACAACGTAGTCAGACACAGTTTACTATTGGTGCGACTGCGGCAACCAGCCTTCCGTTGACATAATACAGAAAGAAGAGATGAGAACATGAGCACAGAGTTGTAGCGGAGATAATTTGGCAGGCGAGACTGTAGTTGTTTTATTGTTCCGAACCCCGAAATTCCGGTACTCGGGCCATTACTCCGGAGACNTCTCAAACAAGACGCCAACTTCAAACGAAAACGCGTTCTACGATGCGTCTACACTCCATCCCCATATCATTGGCGTTGACTGGTCCGAGGTCGATCTTGTTCGCCTGTTTTCGGCGTCTTGACGCCCGCGCAATGCGAGCTTGTACCTCTGCACTCGCCGAGATATGGCCACCTGTGTAGCCACCGAAACGATCTGAAGAAGTCGTTCCTTGAAGACTCCTTTCAGAGCCATCGTTCCTCCGTCCCTTCCTCCCACGGCATGTGTCGCAAGTTCATCGATGAACTCGTAACCCTCCTCTCCAAGGCGGCCAAAGCTTTCCACTAGTTGTTTATTGTTCCGAACCCCGAAATTCCGGTACTCGGGCCCATACCCCGGAGACCCTCGGAGGAACCTGCTGTGTTTGCTGCTTGTGTTTTGTTTTGTTGTTGAGCTGAGACACAAGCGCGCCTTCGCCCCTTGTGCTCACTCTCATCTAGCACCCATCATGGCCTGACCAGGGAGTCAGTTGATAAGAACATCTATCTACATTTCTCTTTCCGAAGCTCGCTCGGGCCTACCGGTCCCACAGCAGTGTAACCTCTGTGATAGACTATACAAAGTCTAGTCTACGAGCTACAGCAGCACCGCGGTGACAGCAGTGTAACCTCTGTGATAGACTATACAAAGTCTAGTCTACGAGCTACAGCAGCACCGCGGTGACAGCAGTGTAACCTCTGTGATAGACTATACAAAGTCTAGTCTACGAGCTACAGCAGCACCGCGGTGACAGCAGTGTAACCTCTGTGATAGACTATACAAAGTCTAGTCTACGAGCTACAGCAGCACCGCGGTGACAGCAGTGTAACCTCTGTGGTAGACTACATAGTCTATGAGCTACAGTAGCACCACCACCTCCGCTGCTGCAGAACGCCACATTTTGTGACCCTCTTCTTCCCAGCTCCCTTCACCGCCAAGGCGTCGTATTCTTCACGAAGTAGTCTCAGCGGGAAGGCCGCCGGCCCACGATGACCAAGATACTGGTTCGGCTGACGTGCGTTTAGACGCCACTAGGGATCCATGCTCCTGGAGTGCATCTCGTTGCACCCACTTTTGTTTGCCATGATAAACCTCCTCTTTTGGAGCATGGGCCTGATCTGGTAGGTGGAACTCTTTAATTGATTCCGATTCTTACACTACAGAACCGGCCCGCACTTAAGAATATGGACGTTAAGAATTTGAGCCTAGAAAAATCCAATTTTTAAGAATTTGCCCGTAAGAACACGTGCTCAGATCGGACCTGCTGTTAAGAATAAGAACCTCCAGTGAGGTGTACGACTGGTGCTATAGATAAGAACATACACAGATCGAGGAGGAGGGAGGGGGGGAGGCGTTCCCAGGTTTGGTGGTTGGTACCTACCTAGACTATCCCTTTTTAGATTTTTTTTCGAGGTGGGGGTCTGCTGTACATACACGTCGTGCCCCTGTGCCAGCGAGTTTTTTTTTTCTAATTTACCACGCAACGTGGTGCAGCGTGCCACGAGTTGCCTGCTGTGCAGGGGGATCATGTCCCTGTCCAACCCCTTATCCCATGGGTTGTTGAAGGACCTTGGCAAACTCTCGGAGTTGAAACAACGAGGACTGATTCTTGACCGTCACTTCGAGACGATAAAGGCACATGTGAAGGCGGGCAACTCCGTTGCGAAGGAGCGATGGGACGCAATCGAGAACGCATGGGGGCTGAAGCAGACGGGTGTCTTCAACGAAGAAGAGTGGATCACGCAGATTGATGGAGAGGCCCAGGGTATTACCAGCAGCACCCGTCCGTCGTTTTTAACGCCACAAGATGCGGGCGGCGCGCGAGGTGCACCGTCTTCGCACCCACCGCCTGCTACTGCTGCGGCTGCCGGGAAGAGAAAGGTCGCAGATCGGGGGAAGCAAGCCAGGGATCGAGCTGCCCAAGGTGTTCTAGGTGGCAACATCATCAACGCGTTCGCTCGTGGCAGCGGAAAACCGGTGAGTTCAGTCATCTGACGAACTCTGTTGCTGTGATGATGTACATATATACAGCAGTCGTACGGCGGTCCAGCAGCTGTATGTAGTGTAAATTCAGCAGGAGTGCTACTGCTGCTGCTGTTTGAAAAAAAAAGCGGTTGTGATGAAATGAAAAAGACGAGAGAAAAACTACTCTGTCACAGGTTGGTGTAAACGACTGACTTTCAGCATGGCGTACATGTATGTGTACAACTTTTTCAAACATTCTCCGTTTGCCTCAAGTTCTTGAGGAAGGCAAGGACGGTACAGTAGACACAATGGCGAAAAAGAACGCGTACACGAGCGCCGTCCCAACCGTATTTTGTAATTTTTTTTTGCTGCACCGTGATACAAACACACGAGAGACGGTCATGTAATCATCCCTTGCCCCATCTGCATAGATAGATATATTTTGCCATCGACATCCACGCAATTTCAGGTCCACAGCTCGTTGAATCACCTGCACCTCAATTCCGCCCTTCTCCTACCGCGCCGTGCAGATTGAGCGGACTCGCGGTGGTGTCACAGAGCATGTGTCCGGTATCAACTTCCCACCTCCGGCCCCGGAGCGGCGCATACCGTGCCCTCACTGTCCCATGACCTTCGTGAACGAGCAAGGACTTGGGATCCACGTGAAAACACAGCACAGCAATGCAAACATGTCCAACGGCTTGCGGCTGCAGCGGATGCTAGGGAAGACTCCCAAAGGGTATGTTCAGCCGTGGGGAGAAGCCGGGCCTGGACGTTGTTGGCACGTGAAGGTCGATGGTGCGACGGGGGCGGCTTCGTTCGTCCTCCAACGGAAGCGCTTCCGCGATCTCGACTTGGAAAGCGACGGCTTTACGGACCGCAAAGTCAAGGAGACTCGTGGAGCTGTGAAGCGCAAGCGATACGATTTCAGGTTCAAAGCCCATGTTGTGACCCAGCTGCGCCTCCTCCAGGAAGACGCCGCAGACCTCTTCAAGGAGGAGCAGCTCACGCCTCTCCAGTACTTAGAGGACCGTCTCAAGGTTAACTACAGCCTGATCGTGAAGTGGGCTCAGGACGAGGCCAATATAGTCCAATCGGCAGCAGATGACGTGAAGAAGACCCTCCTTGCCAAACAGCAGCCAAAGCGGTGGTTTCCTGAGGAAGAGAAGAAGCTGTACAATATGTTCTTGGCGCGGCGGAGGAGGAAGCTGAAGGTGTCGACCCTGTGGCTGACGGTCACGTTCCGGAAGCTCGTGCAAGAGAATCACCCTGAGGACCAACGGGCGGCGGCGTTCAGCGCGTCCTTCAGGTGGGCACGAAAATGGGCAAAGAGGCATAAGCTGTCCAAACGGCGCAGGAGCAACCTCAAGAACAAGTCTGTTGAAGAGCGCCTACCAAAGATCCAGCGCTTCCACCGGCGGTTTCGCAAGCTCCTGCAAGAGCCGGTACGGTACAGGGCACCCGAGGCATCGGACGTGTCGGCGATGTCGACGGTCGCGGAGGGAGAGTCCAGAGATCCCAAGTACGGTCAGTTCCAGCTCTGGGAGCGTTGGAATGTGGATCAAGTGCCTTTGCCATTCGTGAACGGGCTGATCAGCACGTGGGAGAAGACAGGCGCGTTGCGTGTAGCCATCTCGCAGCCCTTTGCTGGCCTAGAGAAAAGGCAGTGCACCATGCAAGTCATCTTTGGTCCGGGTGAGAAGACTATGCGGATTTCGGTGATTTTCCGAGGCCAGGGGAAGCGGATTTCGCCGGTGGAGAAAGCCGCGTACCACAAGGACGTGGACGTGTTTTTCCAGGAGAATGCGTGGGCGGACCAAAAGTTCTGCATGGAGTGGGCCAAGAGGTCGTACCGCGAAGGCCTGATCCGCGGGCGGGGTGAGCTCCCCAAGGCGAGGTCCATTCTGATAATGGACAACTTGCACGCGCAGACCACGGACGAGTTCAAGGGGTATCTTGCGAAGCAGTGCAACACTATCGCCTGGCTTGGCCCTGCGGAGTGCACGGACGAGGTGCAGCCAGTTGATGCAGGAGCCGGACGATTTCTCAAGGTGGAAGTTGGTAACGAGATGGACAAGTGGCTCGATCAGTCGGACAACATCGAGAGGTGGGAAACCGCGTCGCTGACAGCATCTGACCGGCGCGTACTGATCACTCAATGGACGGGAGCGGCCATGGCAAAACTCAACAGCAATCAGGGGTACCGACACCGCCTTTTCGAAAAGTGCGGGATGGCGATGACCGTGGACGGCTCAGGCGATGATCGAATCACCTTGGAGGGTTTGGACCAGCCGTACACCTTCGCAAACGATGAAGACTCCAGCGAGAACGAAGGAGGTTCGGAGGACGGCAGCGATGGGCCCGAGGGGCGGGAGGAGGAGGGCGCCGGAAGGCGCGAGCCGGTCGTCGGGGATGAGCGCAACGGTGCCAACAGCGGGGAGGGCATGGAGGGCGCTGGATACAGCGATGAAGACGACGACAGTAAGTTTGATTGGCACTACATAGACTACAGTTAATTCATTGTCCTTTTTGTTCATCTTTTCTTGTGCTGTTTGGGATATTGCTGATATTCTGTTTCCGCGTCACGTCTACGAACAAATGGTGTGTTCACTTCAGTTGAGTAACGGCGATGACACCCGTACGTTCCTTCTCGTGTTTCACGGTACCCTTCGTCGCAGACATGTCTCAATCCCAGACCGACGAGCTAGCTCTTTTGGACGAGGACGACAGCATGGACCCAGACGACCCGGAGGACGAGACGCAGGGAATGGAGATCCCGGCGGGCTTTCGCCTTCAAGAACCTACCCCCGCTGCTCTTGACAGATTTCTTTTGCAACGTGGAGTGTTTGTTCGGCTGGGCATGGGGTGGTTCGGTGGGTTGATCATTCAGCAATCTCCGCAGCGCCACCTGTACGACTACTGTGTGCAGCTGGAAGTAGACCACAGTACGCGCAATATGAAGCTGCCCTTAGACAAGTACAGCGGAGGTCCGGACGCGGCGGTAGGCTCATGGGTTTTGCTTGAGAGCGTCAGTAGGGCGGGAAGGGTACGCACCCCCAACATCACTCTTGTGGACCAAGACGGTTGACAGTTGCCCCATGGGGGGGTGTTTGCGGGTATGAAACTCTGCGTCGAGTGCAGTTGAGTAGTGCACCAATTGAGCAATCGATGATGAAATATGAACAAGAACACCGTTTCTGGAGACAACTGGACGACGAAATAAGAACTTGTGCTCGGCTTGGGGCAGCCAACAAGAAGCGAGCCTCGCTCCAAATAAGAGCTTCTTAAGTGCGGGCCGGTTTTGTACCCGAGTTTTGTTACATGGTGGGCCAACTGCTACTTCACAACTTCCGCGGGTGCCTTTATTGGATTCTGCCTCTCCTGCGTCGTTCGTGACCGACTCTGTGGTAACTGCTATGATTGCCGCTGGTGTTTTGACACCTGGGAGTATTCGTGTGTCGCCTTCTCGCCGCTGGGGTGGGTTTGGCGATGGGCCTGCTCTCGAAACCGCCAAATCTGTTCGCCTCACTGTCAACTTCCTGACTGAATGAAGATCGCGCTACAGCTTCTTTGGCAGTTTGGGCTTGCATTGTTCCAGACAAGGTCATGGGACATGCTGTGCTTTTGAGACGTGACAGTTGGATACGTTTCAATTCTAGGACATTTTCAACTCTCCCTCGCCCTGAACCGGACGGTCGTGTAATGGGTGAGCTCACGCTTTTTACGCGTTTTTCGTCGGGGGCTTGTGTTTACGCTACACATGACGAGGCGCCGGAGTCTTCCGTTTCACCTCAAATGTGCCGGCACTTCGGGTATTACTTTGGGACCGAAACCTGCTCTCATCGAGGTCAACCTCGTCCGTTCTTCAGGTTTGCCTGCTTTGATTGGTGAGTATTTGGTGTCTTTTCGACAGCCAGGTGCCAGAATTTTTCGAATCTGAGTTGATTAAGGTACTAAACCATCAGTTGGCGGCGCCGGGGGGGATACTTCCGGTACTGAAATCAGCGTAAAAAAGTTACACCGAATAAGCTGAAATTTGGTGTGCACTCACCTGGGAGCAGCGCGAGAAAAATGATGATTGTTGCAAGGCTCAAATTATGGTCTCGTACAGGATCCGACACAACACACAAGATAGCCAAGGAAATGTGAGGTTATCGCAATNCTTTTCGACAGCCAGGTGCCAGAATTTTTCGAATCTGAGTTGATTAAGGTACTAAACCATCAGTTGGCGGCGCCGGGGGGGATACTTCCGGTACTGAAATCAGCGTAAAAAAGTTACACCGAATAAGCTGAAATTTGGTGTGCACTCACCTGGGAGCAGCGCGAGAAAAATGATGATTGTTGCAAGGCTCAAATTATGGTCTCGTACAGGATCCGACACAACACACAAGATAGCCAAGGAAATGTGAGGTTATCGCAATTGCATCACGGTTTAAACGAATTGGAATCTGAAGTTTTGAGGTGTGGTCGGCTGTTGTATCACGAAGACCTTGACCAGACGCACCTTTTGTTTATATATTTTTTAGTTCCCCTACGCACAACAATAGGATTTCCATGTGTCCTTGAATAGGGATACCTCGTGAAAAATTAAAAGTAAATAAAGGTGCGGCTAGTCAAGGTCTTCGCTATACTAGTGCCGACCACATGTCAAAATTTCAGGTTCGAATTCGTAAAAACCGTGGTGAAAATCGCTTTCAACCATTTTGTACGTTTCTTGGCTGGCCCAGTTTGTACACATGACGAGGCGCCGGAGTCTTCTGTTTCACCTCAAGTATGCCGGCACTTCGGGTGTTTCTTTGGGACCGAAACCTGCTCTCATCGAGGTCAACCTCGTCCGTTCTTCGGGTTTGCCTGCTTTGATTGGTGAGTATTTGGTGTCCTTTCGACTCGAAGGTGGTGCTCTTTCGTCTCCGGACGCGTCCAATGGACTTCAGCGCACCCCCCTCGCAGGTTGTGCTGAATTGGAGCCAGGTGCCCTTCTTGGAGTTGCTGCTGCGCCTTTGTTGCGTGTGCCTGTGAAAACGTTGACCAAGTCTTTCGCGTCCTCAACTTCGTCACCTTCGTCGACTTCGCCGTCTTCGAATTGGTCGGCTCCGTTGACATCGACGACAGCCTCTCGGGTCAACACCGTTGATCCCAAGCCAGAGGCACGACAACCGTCGAACCCCGCGCCAGAACCCCCTCCGCCGAAACCGCCCCCACAAGAACAGATGGATCGTCTGTCAAACGCGCAACGCTCCAGCTGCTCGCGTTTGTGATATAGTTTGCCGCCGCACATGCATGCCATGGCTTTTGATCTCCATGACCCTGGATGGTCACCAGAGGCTATTGATCGTTTAGCAGATGCATTGTGCGATTATTCTGATGTGTTTTCGACGTCGAAGACGGACTTTGGTGCTTGTGATGTTTTGCTCGTCAGCCTTTCTGTTCCTCCTGGGACGAAGCCTGTCGCTTCACGTCCCTACCGCATCAACCCATTGATGCAGAAGAAAGTGGACGAAGTTTTGGATCAATATTTGGCGGCTGGGCTTATTCAGCATCCCACCTCTCCTTGGGCCTCTCCTTTAGTGGTCATCCCCAAGAAGGATGGCTCGGTTCGCATCACCGTCAACTACAAGCGCCTTAATGCACTGGTGGATTTAGACGGACAGCCTCTTCTGCGCGTGGACGGCATTGTGAACTCTTTGTACACAGGGGGGTATTTTCCACCTTTGATCTTAACTCTGCCTTTCACCAGATTGTGTGCGACGAGGAGACCGTGCCTCTCACAGCCTTTTGCACGCCTACACAGCGCTTTGAGTGGCTGCGAATGACGCAAGGAGCTAACAGGAGCCCTTCGTGGTTCGTGAAGGTCATCAAGCGTGTGGTGCAAGGTCTGGACCGCGTCGTGGCGTATTTGGACGATGTTACTTGCTTTGACGAGGAACCTTTGGAGCATGTGCGTAACATGATTGAGTTTTTCAAAAGCCTACGACAGTACAAACCTCAAGCTGTCTCCAGGGAAGGCCGTGTCGGAGTTAGTCACGCCAATTTCCTGGGCCACACCATCTCCCAAGCCGGCGTTAGTCCGGATGGTGACAAGGTCCGGGCGCTCACGAAGATGCCACCGCCGGCGAATGTCAAGCAACTTCGGAGTCTCCTAGGTGGTTCAAGCAACGGAATTTCTGAAGAATCTTGCCACCAAGGTAGGACCGCTCAACGCCCTTCTTAAACAAGGCGTTCAGTGTAAGTACACCTCGAGCATGGTCACGACGGTTAAATCCCTTCTCCACGACGTTTTCCTCCCCTCGATTTTGGTTTTCCCTGATTGGGATGCGGTTGAAGACAACAGTCGCCCTCTCCGTTTGTGCTCAGATGCCTGTATAGACGGGTTTGGCGCTACTCTAGAGCAAGAACAGCAGTTGGATGGCACTGTGCGGCCTATTGTGTACATTAGCCGCGCTACTGTCCCTGCCGAACGCAATTGGACCGTTTTGGATTTGGAGGCTAGTAGCATTGTCTGGGCTACTAAACGGCTTCGCGGATACCTTTGGTCGACCAAGATTGTCATTCATTCCGATCACAAGGCTTTGAAAAGCATTGGCAAGGTTGACGAACACAATGCTCGTGTGCAACGTTGGTTGGAGTTTTTGTCCAACTTCACATACACTTTGGAGTACAGGAAAGGTTCGGCGAATGGCAATGCGGATTTCATTTCGCGACTGCCGTTGCCAGCGAGAGAGGAGGACAAGACCGGTCCTGACAGCATCGACGGTATTGACCAAGCGGGTGTTTTTCTTTTCTGGGCTTGCGGGTTCACCTATCATTCGTCTTCTACACCGGAGGTCGGTTTNTCATTTCGCGACTGCCGTTGCCAGCGAGAGAGGAGGACAAGACCGGTCCTGACAGCATCGACGGTATTGACCAAGCGGGTGTTTTTCTTTTCTGGGCTTGCGGGTTCACCTATCATTCGTCTTCTACACCGGAGGTCGGTTTGGGTGGGCTCCGCCCTCCTTGTTCCGATAGCGTTTTTCCACCCTCTGCGTTGGAAGATTCGGACTTTGGAGATTTTCGAAGACATGGACCACGCATGGACGAGCTTGCATTTTCGCCTCCTTCTGGAAACGATTGCAGGAGTTCTCCGGGAGTTTTCGCGGTTTTGCCCGCTTCTGGAGATGCTGTGCCTGTTTCTGCGTCTCCTTTCGTACCTATCAAGTCGCATTGTCCACGCCGGCATGTCCACGTTTTGTCTTCGTTGCCGGAACAAAGACCCCTTGTTTCTTCGAGGACTAGGGCCAAGAGTTCAGCTGCGTCAGGTTCTCCTGTCGCTGGCCCCACATACTTTAGGCAACAGCCAAGGGCTACTGTAGGCCCTCGTGCTTTGTCGCCTGCTCGTCGCCATAGCAGGTCTCGTCAGACGACCAAGACAGCTGGGACTACTACCCGCTGGTCTGGGACTCCCGCGACGCCTACATCGGCGCCTTCGTCATGCTTCGGTACCGCCGGTGATTTCATCGTCGTTTTCGACCTCTTCTTCCCCGGATTCGCCTTCTCCTAGATCGTCACCTGGGACCGCGCATTTTTCTGCATCTTCTTCGGCTGGTTCGTCAGGATATTCTTTTGATCCAATCGCCGACGATTCTTCCTATTTACAGGATTGTGTCCAGAGTTTTAACACTGTGGATTGGGTTCGGGAACAACAGCGAGAGAGTGAGTGCATTGTCGCCATGCATTTTCTCTCCCGAGGTTCTCCCTCCCCACCTCCGTCGGGCGTGTTGAATGTACCTGCCCCCCTTCGCTCCCCTAAGCTACCGGGTGTGTTGGCATCGGCTTCAAAAACGCGGTTGCATACAACCGACGCCAACATCACGCTTCTAGTTCAAAAATCGGCGCCTCGGCCGGTTGGGTGTGCTGGAAGTAGGACCACTCGATTGCCGGATACTGGGGAACCCCGCATCTACGTGCCGATGTTGATGCGCCCATGGGTTCTCCGTGCTTGTCACACGACTGCTTCGTTTCATTTGGTAGTGCACCGCACTATACGGCTGCTGGAGCGCTTTTATCGGTGGTCCGGCATGGATCGCTCGGTTCGCTGGTGGTTTCGGTCGTGTTCGGTGTGCCAGACTCGCAAAATTTCACGTCCGACCACTCGATGGCCTGAAATTGCCATGCCTCTGCCACAGGGTCCCGGCATTTTGGTGGGAGTCGATTTTTTCGGACCTGTGCCGGTGACTGTCAAGGGCAACACCTCCATCTTACTGTTCACGGATCGCTTTAGCCGCCGTGCGGATATGTTTGCGGTCACTGCGGCCGAATTCACGGCCAAAGGGTCGGCTAGTGTGTTTGTGAACCGGTACATGACAAAGTGGGGATGTTGTCGGACAATGGAATGCAGTTTTTCTCGAAACGCCTCTTGGCTATCTACGACGCCATGAAGAGCAAGAAAGTCACCACGAGCGCATACCACCCGCAAACCAATGGAGGTACGGAACGTGCTAATCACACCGTCGCCCAGATGCTTGCTGTGGTTGTCAACGAGAAGCAAACGGATTGGGATGTTCATTTGCCACACGTCGAGTTCGCCTACAACAACTCTGTCAATCAAGCCACCGGGCTAGCGCCGAACGAGATCGACATGGGACGAATTCCGCGCTTACCGCTTTCGGTGTTTGATCGCCCTACAGTCGGTGGTCATCAGAGTTTACATCGCGACCAATTGAAGTAATGCAATTTGGCCGTGGACCGTCAACGTCAGGCGTACGATCTCGTTCGTGAGTACAACGCGCTTTAGGTTTCGCGTGTCGAGCGTCGCAACTCCTCTCTTCTTGATGCTATCAACAAGCTCCCTACGTTTACCGCTGGAGGATGGGTTTGGGTGTACAACACAGCTGCCACCATTCGGCGAGGGGGCAAGAAGGACACGGATCAACACGTGCTCAAGGTTATGTTTTCGCTTCCTTGGACAGGACCCTGCAAAGCTCTTGCTGTAGGTCCCGCCTCTGCTGAAGATACTCCAGATGGTCGGCCTCTGGGAAACAAACTACTTTATCTGGCTCTTCCTTCGGATTTTTCTGGTCCGGAAGCTCGTGCCCGTGTGTCTGTCTTTCGATGCAAATTCTGCCGCAATCCGTATGACACAAACGATTTGCCGCATTCTCTGCCTGCTGATCTTTCGCGATATGTTTTGCACTCTTTTGGAGCCAAATGCCCGCCGTTCCATGTCACTGCTGTGGATGATGTGTCTGCGCCGGTTGGTCGTCTGGAAGTGGACTACATTTCGGGGCATCAATTGGTCAGACACCGTAACGGCATCGTCGCGGTGTTGAACCAGACTCACTGGATTGGCCTCACCACTCCGTCCTGGGAACCGGAATCCGACCCGGATCAGTTTCGTCGGCACATTCCTTTGTATTGGTATATAGAGTGAGACGCCAGAATGAAACTCGTGAAGTTTTGGTCCATTTAGCCCGTAGTAAACGGTATTATGCGAGGAAAACGCCACGTGCGCCAGGCTTTGATAAACTTTCTGAGTATTTCTTTGGACGCCAGGTTCCGTTGCCCGAGCTAGACCATCCCGATGAAGCTCAACCCAAAACTGAGTCTTACATCGTTGACAAAGTGGTAAGCCATAAAAGTGGTAGGGGGCCGAAAACCCCGTCCAACTACAAGTATCGTGTGCGTCTTCGTGGATACGGCCCTGAGTCGGATCTTGTGTACAGAGCAGACGAAATCCCACAATGTCAAGAAATGATAGCTGCCTACCGAATCCGTTGTGGTTTGGACATCGCGCCGCCTGATCAATCTGCGTCTCGTGCCCCAGTTAAACAGGGAGATCCGAAATCACTCAGTGAAACCAGGAAACGAAAACGGAGACAGGCAATCAATCCTAAAGAAGCTTCACCTCGAAAATTGGTTGTGCAAAGTGACTCTGAGCCACTCAGCAAAACTAACACAACGACGGAGAAGTGTCCAAGGGAACTGTCATTTACCCCAGTCGCGTTCGGCCACGACCCTATTATAGGTGATATTACATTGCCCCGTCGTACTAGCAAACGAAAACGAACTAGGGCCCGAAAATTGAATGATTCATGCACTTCGATCATTTCTAGCAGCTAGCATTTCTACTTTAATACTTTTATTTTTCTACTACTATTATTCTGTGTCCGTCCATCACTAACACAGGACCGGTAGCCACGGTGGTGGTAGGTTGTGTCCATTGGAAACAACCTATTCTATCAGTGTTTGGGGAAACACTGGCGAGAAGGATAATTCTTTTTAGCCACCGTTATCCCAAGATATTATTTATGATGCGTAGGCAGACTTGCCAGAGGTTCACCTCATTACAAGTCTACCCCACATCAACCCCACACATGGCATGTCACGCGATCATGACCATGGGAAATTTTTCTAGTACCCTAGCTGTCATCATGATAGCCCAGTACCCATCATTTTCTAGACTATATATACTAGTAACAACATATTCGCCTGATTGAGAGCGAAGTATCTGATTGAGAGCGAGAGCCAAAAAAATTGAAATTTCGGGTCCAGACGCCTCTTGCCATTTCTTGGCAAGTAGGGGACGGGCTATTCCAAGAAGCGGTGCAAATTGAAGGTCTCATCAGCAGCTTCGCGAGCATATGCGTGTCATCGTCATCGGATGCTGCAGCGAGGAGCTAGACAAGTTGCTAGATTTGCCCAGATTGGCTATTTCTGCTCAAACTGTTTCAGGGCGGTATCGCGTCGGGCGGTGGGCTCTGCTGTAGCTTCTGCTCCCCGCTGTAGCTCCACAACGAGAGACTCCCACAGGATGACCAGGGTAGCGGCTTGAAGCTACGGGCTAGCCCTTCAATTCAAGCTACACAGCAAGCTCCACCTCTCAGTGGTAGTCCGGCTACAGCGTATCGCGCAATCTCGCTCTCAATCAGATGCTACGCTCTCAATCAGGCGAATATGTTGTTTAGTATGGACCACATTCATCGACCGTCTGAATGAAGACTCCCCGTCTTTCTCAACACGCGCTGTACGATAATCAGATCTTGTAGTCGATGGTGTTGTACAATGGATATACTTATGTTATTTCCGATACATGCGTCTCCATGAGCCACTCATTCATGTCTCTGAACGCCAAAAGCGCATCATTAGCACAGATGGACTTGTGGCGCATAGCGAGGGGGGTGATGAAGAGGACACCTGTCGGAATATATAACCAACCATTTGTGCACATACAAAGTATAGGAAGATATGATTCCTCGGGGTAACTTGCCATCGGGAGAAGTGGCAAGTAAAGCACCGAGGAGATTTCCGAAGTCCATGGCCGCTTACCGAGGGAAGAGATTGAACTAAAAGAATAAGACCATAACATCCACAAGGAGGCCTTTGCTCCGACGCTACATCGGCTACTACAGCTGGTACGAGTATCTTCACTACTCATCGCACTCGGTACAGCAGTTGTTCGATTGCACAAAGAGAGGTCAGTTGTTGTTGTTGTTGTTTCTCACATTAGCTCTAAAAAAGAAAGATTGGGAGCCCGTGGTCTCAAAACCCGGCATACACGACCCCACGAAGAAACAGAAAAAAATAGGGTACAAAAACCACTCGGAAGAGAAACAAAATGATAGAAAGAAAGACCAGCTACCGCACCAAACGAGAAAGAGCGTCGAGGAGACCGATCAAAATAAAATAAAAG